CATTGTACGGGCGTGCAACTAGTTAAATGAAAAAACAGATCATGTTTTAAATTGTCAAATGTAAAATATCACGTAATATTAAATCAAATTTTATGTCAACTTTGATGTTCATGTAGCAAAATTAATATTTAAATTTGGCATCTTGATAAGTCGAACTAAATAACTATAGTTTATCAGAAGTACTTGTTTGGCTATCAATTCCAAGTTCCTTGACATGTAACTATTTGTATGTATTCTCTCTTTCTACTCGATAACATTTTTTGTGAGTTTTGCCTTTATGAAAAATGGGACGAAGTAAATTCTTGATCTTGGACAATCAATCAACTAATGCTATTTATCACCACTGATAAAGCATCAATCTAAATGACAATTACATGACATTAAATAATATGTTCATTTAAATGTAAAGTCACACGACTCATTTAATTTAGCCTATAAAATATAGTCACCTAGACTGGTAGTGCTAGATAGTATTATTCCAGTCAATAACCCCAGGCCAATTACCACGATAGTTCATAGTATTTCCACCAGGGGTGACATCTTCAAAAATAAAAATTGACCATCTAAACATGATTATCCACCCGCAGCCCCAAACATTCCAGGCTCTATTAGCATAATTTGCAATAGTGTATAACTCTAAGATGGGAACAGAATTTAACATGACAAATGCACTTTACAGTTACAATCAAAGGTTGCGACGAAAGGAAAAAATAACAACTATCACTTCCTGTACACAATGCGACCGGGAATTACAAATTTCCAGCCACTTGATACGGACACAGATTTCCATCCCCAAGACATGTACAAGAAAAAATGGTAATATAGACTATTTAAGCAAGATAGTTGTATATCTGAGGGTTATTTTTGTCACGTTCCAGGTACTCCCGGTCGATGAGGCTCTCAATCCTTTTCTTCAAGTCGGTTGGTTTTATTGGAAACTTGAGCTGTTTCACAAAAATAAGATGATATTTCATTTTTAAATTTGCATAAATCACAATTAGAATCATAATGGCACAGGAAAGTGATTTCATTTTTATACCTGCTGAAAGAGCTCGGTTATTAAGAGTGTATGACTAAGCACTTTTCTAGTTTTCATTATCCGAACAATAGCAGCATCAACCTGCACCAACAGTTGTACCGAAAACTAAATTACCATTCATTGCAAAAACAAATAAAGGATATCCCAAGGTTTTGCAATAGAATTTTCAAGAATGTGATAGGACATCTAAAAGTAAACCTGGTATTGACGGTCTTGGAACACCCTTTCAGTGGTGCTCGTGTTCTCCTCAACTGTTTCTTTCATCTGAATGGCATTTACCTGCTCATATCAAGTAAACTTAGCTTCAACATCACACGGTGAGATTCATTTGAATGAAAAGATAATATATAACAAGGTTACCTTTATACGATAGAGAGGAGCAGTAAATTGATCATTGAACTCAAAGGAGTCATCATCCTCCACATCTCTCCCTTTGGGAATCTGCAAGGATAATTATTTCTTGCAACTGAGAATTGCTTGCAATCATTTAACGAACTTGAAGAAGAAAAAATTGGGTCTGGCAATGACCACTCACTTTCTGAAGAACACGAAATTTTCCACATGCAAGGGACTGCAAAGTCCTCCTCAGCTCTTTATCTTCAATGCCAGTAGATTCCTTAATATCTTGGAAGCTGAGCTTTTGTGCATCATTAAACAGCATTAACACAACAGCCTGGGGAATCGAACAGACAGATGCACCAAGATGATGAAACATTTATATTCATGGCCAGGATTTACTAAACATAAAAGAGGAGACTTATAAGACCGGCCAGTTCAACCAGAAAAACTGGGAACCAGTCCGTAAACCGGTTTGGTTGTGTTAAAATCTGTTTAATGAAAAACCAGTGCAAAACTCGGAAAACTGGCCGGGTCAACCAGGAACCGATGACTCGGTCCCGGCACGAGTTAACCGTTTGGATCCTATCTTCACAAAAATTAAAAAGAAAGAAAGTCGACCATTGTTGAAACTCTTCTATTCAGAACTGAGATATAGAAGCGTCTATCATCTTCATATCCGAAGCGATGATAACCAAAACAATTTCCCCTTTATATATTTTTCGCTTCACTCACTGAAATTTTTCCACTCTACTGTTCTCCAATTGCAAACCCTCAGTGAATGAACTAAACAAGGAACCTGGTGAAGTTTTTTAAAAAGTTGAGGGGTGGGCCATCTCTTTTGTTTCCTATTGAATCTTTTTGTTGACTATGAATGACGAATACAGAAAAAATAATCTAATTATTATATAATTACAAATAAAAAGATTTTCTAGCTGCAGTTGGTATATTTGACTACATGTTTTTATTTATAATTTTTTAATTAATATAGATTTATATAATTATTTTTACAAGCTGCTTGACCCTATTTGACCATGTTTGACCCTTGCCCCTTTCTCTTCACCGGTCCGGTCCAATATTCAAAACATTGATAAACAGACAGAGCAACCATGATTGAGGGGACAAACCTGAAATAGAGAAACTGCCAGCTCCTTTTTACCCTTAGGGAATCCCGCTTTCAGCACGCACTGACCCAATGAGTTCTGCCACATTAACCGTCTCCCACTGTACTTGCTTAGGTAGAACTCCTTAAAAATATCCTGCAAAGTGATTGCAGCAACAACATGGGGTTATCTTACAAAAATGTATGCATGACATAAAACTTAGTGGTGCAAATGCTCTAGCGCCAAACCTGATACATGTTCAGCTCATGGGGTAGCCTAACATCCATGGGAGGATATGTTGGCCAATACCTGCAGTCAATTAGACACACAACATTTATTCGTTAAATAACTTGTATGATAGTGAAGATTATACGAGCTAAGCGATGCAGAAGTGATGAAAGGTTTCCACCTACCCTGTTGTTAAGACGTGGACACTCATCTCGATTCCTGATGGGAGTTTTGTCCGAGCTTGGGATGATTGCTTGAAAGATTCGTTAATCTCTTTTGACAATTCAATGTCCTACAAGATATGCATATGGTTTTATTGAATTAGAAATCCTATAACATAGTGGCCACGGAAGTGATGAGACATTTCTATTAGAAATATCAATTAAAACCATGTATGATGGAGAAGTCATGGCTTTTATATGTAGTAGGTGAAGTTGTAAAGAACTTCATATCACTATATACAATCAAGTTGTCCTAGGGAGTGATTGTTTCATTAATATTAACAGGGAAAGAGGGCTTGAAGAGGATGCAATGTATAGAATTAGAGCGATTGGATGTAGTAAAAAAGTGAGAGAGGGAAGATCCCCATAACATTTAGTGGTTGTTTTATAAAACTTTGCTAAAATTTTTATCAAATTTTCAACTTGTCAATCTTCAATTTTAACCATACATTTTATGGGAACTACAACTTTTATAAACTTCCATCAAAATCTGCTTAAACTTTCATCAAAAGCTTTGTCAAGCAACCCCTAAAGGTTGTTTATCCAAAACACTAAATAGTATTTCAGTGTTTTCCAGTTGAAGGACAACTTTTGAAGTTGGCTCCTAATTCTTCGAATAAGGCTTGGCCCTTTTTGGTAAAAAACTGATTAAAATCTAAGTCATAGTCAACAATTCATTTTAAGCACATATTTCATTGGAATCCACAATTTTTCAACCATACATTCATAAACTATTATTAAAATATACTAAAAATCTGAATTTTACCTAAACCAAACAAACAGGGGCTTAATTTGTTGTTGTGATGACAATTCAACATCTTGGAGTAAAGCTCCAAGATCACTAAGCTAAGAATGTCGAACTCTAGTGAAATAATAATATTGGTCTTGGATGGATTTGTAGACAGTTTTGATAGGATCACTTAATTTTAGATTTTTCTTTTAGTTATACTCTTGTATGTGGCTTCTCACAATGAAAATGACAACAGAGTTATCAAAGTTTGAATTTACTCAGCAAAAGAAAACAAAAACTTGTAAACTAAGGTCCACTAGTGATGCCCTAATCAGAAAAAGGGAACCAATATACATCTTTTAGCCAAAAGCCATCATATATAGCCCCTATTTGACAACCATTATTTGAAAACTCTTTTTTCTACATGCTCATTTTCAATCACACATTCCCAAAATAAAATATTTCGCACGTAAACCCAAAATTTTTTCCAACTTTTTAACTATGCATTTTCCTAAAAATCATTGTTCAAAACATTGTTTTCCACAAATAAAGGCCATAGTGTATAATTAAACCATGGGAGTTCAACAAAAGTGTAACAAACTCTGCAACTAGAGAGAATTGATTATTTGAAAACTAATTTTTTTGAGAATGTGTAGTTCAAAAGCAGAGAAGTTTAGGGAAAACGTGAAAAATGATTTTTTGGGAGAATGCATAGTTGAAAATAAGTGGGGAAAAAGTTATTTTCAAATACTCACTTTCAAACAAGGGCTAAATAATAAGAAATGACAAGTTCATGTGCATCACATAGTCAATTTGAACAATGCTACAAACCTTGAACATTCCTTCTAGTTTATTGGTAAATTGGCTGCCGCACTCAGTTTTCAACTGTAATAAAGATGTGATACAGTGAGTATGAGCATAGAGGCTAAAACTTTGGAAAGAAATATGGGAAAAGAAAGAAGTTTTACCTTGGTAATCATGGACTTCTCTGCATCGATACTGGCACTCTTACCCAACAAGAGCCTTTTAGCAAGATCTTTCTTATAGAATGCTTCAAATACATCCTTACCCTACACGAGTAAAAGAACAGACATGACTTTTTGATGGCCATGCAGGCAGCAAAATTAACATACGATCAGCAGCAAATTCCAGCTCAAATGCTCTGTCATGGACATTGCCTTCTTGTTCTTTCCATTTCCTTTTTTTTCCATTTTTCATTAAAAAAAATTAATTCAGGTTATATAATAATACACGCATGTCACCTGTATAAATCTGAATAAAACCAAGACTTTATCCAGTGTGCCCTCTAATTCCTCCTCTGATGTACCCTTGTTTCCAGCACGAAGCTTCTCGTCCACAAATTTGGCAATTAGCTCAGCAGGTCGGTTCTGGAACAGAACACCACTATAAATTATCAGTTTTGATCATCGAGAACGGAAATAAAGATCATGTCCAATTGAGATGCTGACAGTGAATAAGGATGTAACCAAGTTCCATGTGGGATTGAGAAACCACAAGAATCACTTCATCCTTACCAATAGCATCTAATTCAAGTTACAAATCACCTAACTAATAATTCAGTCCACCACCCCAAAAAGACATAGAATGTCAAGCTTGAATGTCCTTTTACAAATGCAGAGTCCATAGAAATATTATTCACACTTCATATCTGTCCTAGGATTCCAATATTCGTTCCAGCTTAATCCACATATAAATCAATCTCTGGTCTAAATTGTATGTTGACTTGATTTGTTTGTATGATATAGATGTGCTTCTAGACAAGGGATAACCAAGTTTTTAAAAATGCTTTGACCCCCAAATTTGGGGTATCCTACTTTCACGTAGTTCACAGATACTTCATAAAACGAAATTCTTTAGTATGTTAAGAGCAGGAAAACCAAACTATCTTGATAATGAATCAATCTTTTACCTGGCGGAGATTAATGAGATGCTCAAATGAATCCTTGATGGTATTGCCACATGCTTCATTTTTAAAGAAGGTTTCTTCCCATATTCTATCAAGATTTGCCTTAAATTCCAATAAGCTCGATACCATATCTTTCTCCTCTTCATCCATGACAATGCCGTGCCCAGTTCCTCGGATATATAGACTAAGGGCCTGCCTTATTGATTCAAGGGCATTGACCCTGAAGAAGAGCAAATACATTCTTTGAAGGTCCTCAATACGCTTCCCATCCATCAGCGTTGTAAAACCCTAGACAAATAGAACAGAAGTACGGTCACATTATATATATAAGCATGGAAAAGCAAGTGATCGAAGGAGGTGAGAAAATGATTGATAGACACCTTATCGAGAATTGCAGATATATAATGTTCAAGAAGTTGAGACTCTACAGTGGCTACTAACAGCTTTCTTGTACTTGGATCCAGGTAGATTAAGCATCTTTCATGTTCTTCTTGCAACCTTATCTGGAAGAACATAGATAACCAAACAATATTAGTTATTAATGTAATTGGAGGATATATCGAACTAAAAGTAGATCTGCACTGTGGTGGGGGTGGAAAGGTTTTTACAATCTAAAATCTGGAAATTTGAAAGTTAACAATACAAGAATGACCAAAATTGTTTATGAGATGGACTGGAAGAACGAACACACACCTCAACGTGTTTTAAATAATCCGGAACATCTGATTGCTGCATGTATTTTACACCTTCAGCAGCATAAAATTCAGATGTACGTTCAAGGAATGGCTTCTCAAAGCTTTCAGGGTATATTCCCAAAGCAGTAAACATCTTCAGAAGATGGTTAAGGAGTGTTCTGTCAGCTGCTTCACCTAATCTATGGGGAAAAAAAGAACAAAATTAAAACATTTTCAAACTAAATCATGAAGAATCTAATGAGCTATTATATTTGTTTTAATTAATTATACTCTAATCATTTTGCCACTTCTATTTCTCAGGAAAAAACAAAATTTATATGGACTACAGGGCTTACAAATTATTTGATATGCTTGAACTTTGAAACAAGTAGCTCTGGAATAGAACAGGTAAAAACAATTCATATAGCCCCAAACTCAAGGTTGTTGAAAATAAGATATAAGACTTAGTTGTTTTCTGTTGTTAGATCTCCACAGACAAAAAATCACATGTACTAGTCTAAAAATAAAAGAGATGTTGCACGACAAAAGCAAAACTGCGATGTACATCTTCCTGAATGATCAATGATATGCCAAAACCAGATATTGAACTTGTTGAGTCAATAAATTTAAATTTCCAGTGATACACTTAATCCACTATCAATAGATTCTGCATGTAGAAATGATGTGGTTTCAATAATTTGTAAATTACCTCTCACTTTCAATCATTTTTAGAAGGCCAAACACAGTTTTGTGCTCCACTTCTGATGCCAGAGAAAGATGTTTACAGAAAAGTTGCAAGCCCATGTCCCACAATGAACGCACATTTGGTGTTTGCTTTACATATGTTCTATCAAGATATAATGCTATACCACGAATCATCAACATCTGCTCACAAAAATCTTGCCAGCACTTCTCAACAAGTGATAAGAAAACTACCAGATCTTCACTTTGGCCGACCAAAGATTGTAGTGCAGCAGATATGTAAGCTTCACACTCCTTTTCAATCCTTTGATAGAGACTTCCCCCCATCTTGTGCAGACAAAGGTCATTGACCGCCTAGAATAAAGTTGCACAGTTAACATTCAAGAGACATAATATAACAAAGAAAACTTGTAACAGTGCTTACTTGATAGAGCCTCTCCAGGTCACATGGATCTGGTTGTTTCAAAAATATGGCCCTGATAGCAGACTTGAGCTTCGCCCATGTATTTTCTTCAAAATCAGTTGGCAGGGTTGGTTTAGCTTCAGAGACACAAATGATGAAATTTATTACTCGAGTATTAACATTCAGTAATTGTCAAACCAATAAAGTTTGATCTATTCCCAAAAGACCATCTATATCAACCAAAAAACATATAGTGTCAGTCTTTAGAGTTGGCATAGGCATTGATAAGTGTTAAACATTAAAAGCTAGCTTCCTGGCTTTTCTCTTTTAGTTTTCCTGGAGCACTGACACAAAGAATGTAATAATGTAACTGAAATATTTAGTAAACCTTTCAAAGATAGAACTTCAAATATTTCTATAGCTACCTGGATCATGATCACTTCAGCAACAAAAAGATTGCAACAACTGGATACTCCAAAACCTAGAAATTGCATAAATAAAGACTTCCTCACAATTTCTACGAAAAAAGGGAAACACTTGGAAATGTACATCTATAAACATCATCACTTCCACCAATTCATGCATAAACCTATTATAGTTTCATAAATTTGCTCTCTCTTTACCTAAAACCAGCAGAAATGCATTGCAACTCGTCCTGCATTTTGAGCATTATTACTGTTCATACACCTGACGACTTAAACCATCTCAAGAGTCCACAAAGATGGAGATATTAATATTAATTAAAACAGTAAAACATAGAATTTCAGAAATTGGCGAAATTCATTATGTACAACAATTATTAAAAAGATAAATTAATGCATCGTTCGCCTAATATCTCAGAAGTCTTTCAATTGTGTCCAATTTACTGCCTCTTTTTGAGAATGCATTCCATTCTATTGATCTAAATAATTAAATTAATAATCTCAATCCCCAAAAGATGATGCCTTGACTTCTAAAATAAACCGCCATAAGGAAGAAGAGAGCAACAAAAACATTAATGTCTTGACAAATAAATCATTAAAGAAGTAAAATTCTCAATCTCTAGACCTTTAGTGAAGGCACATGACTTGCAATTTATCCAAGAGAGTGTCATCATATTTAAGGAAAATGAGCAGAATAATTATGAGTTTTTTTATCTTCTCTTTTCACATTTCTTGTGCAAATTGTTTATATGTTTATTATTCTGAGTGAAAATTTCCTCAAGCTCCCCGTTAGAAAATCTATCACTGGCACTGTGATCCATTTCCACTCATTTATTCCATATTACTTGATAGTTTAAGTTTCAAGGTTACCATCATAAATAGATATCTTGCACAAATAACTTCATAAAGCATGTGGGAAGTGAAACAAATTGACCAAGTGACACTGATCAACAAACAAACAATTCGTTTAGGGTGGATTCCGCAAAATGTGAAGTGTGTGGATTCCACACTAATGTAGGCTCTCCACACAACC